TGATAAAATGATCTTCCATAACGTTCATGAGCTAGTGTGAGCTGCTATGCTTATCCTTTTATCTAACCAAGCAACCATAATATTCCTTGCTTTGTGTTTCACCTATATGAATCAACAAACAAATCATGTAGGCAATGTATAAGCTCATTAGGTAAAATGCATACTTTCGTGAAGTGTTTGATTGATATGAGCTATGAATGATCATCTAGAAGCTAAGATAACATGTATATAAGCTAGATAGAAGGCATAGGACGTTCATGAGCTTTAAGAAAACATGTATGAGCTAGAAAAGAGATGCATACATGCAAATGAGCTAAAGAAACATGGATTTAAAGCTAGTGAGCTAATGTAAACATAACATGAGCTAGAATAACATGATATGAGCTATTAAATAAATAAATACATGCTGCCATGATATGTAAATGATATGTAAACATAATAAATGAATCTAAAACATATGTAAACATAATATAAAGCTAAGTAAAGATGTGGAAACATATGTTATGCATGAAAATCATATAGTATGCAAGTGAATGATAACATATGATTATTCAAGCATATCTTAAGATGCAAATGTATGCTCATAATAATATATAGTGCATAAATGAGTAAATATAATATAAAGTAAGGAAGAACTCCCTTAGATTGATCTTGATAGATCTTCAATGATGTGAGTATGTAATGTAGAAAGTTGGTGCTAGACAGGATCACATCACATTTGTCTGATCTTCGTTTTACCAAAAATTAATCTATTTCGAGAGTCGATTACATTCAATGAATGATTAGCACCCTTGTACTTCCCTTTCGTTACCAATTTGATTTCTTGGTTGTCTTAATTGCGAAAATTAAAAGTTAAAATTAAATTTAAAAGTTCGATCCAAATTACTTACCTTTGACGAATTTTAGAATTGACCTAAAAATAAATCAGCTTAATGTTAAACTGTAAAATGAAATAAAATGAAATAATAAATATTAAATAAATAAAATAAAAAGAAAATTTAAAAAATAAAAAGGACTAAATTGAAAATAATTTAAAAAATAAAGGGATAATTTGATGTTAATTAAAAGTTGTAAGGAAAAAATAAAAGTTAGGGGGTTAAATTGCAAAAATAAAAAAATATATAACAAGGATTAAATTGAAACAATTCAAAATTCAAGGGAAAATTTACAACAGTGACCAAAATGAATTACACATCAAACTTGTTTTTTTGAACCAAAACTGATGCTCTACCTTGATACCTTTTGTTTTTTTGGTGATATTTGCTCGATATCTTTGGGCATTTCGATTTTGTGTAGTGTGTTGCTTTGGTTTTTTTTTTTTGCGTATTTCTAGTGGGTTTTTGTTATTCCAATGGTACCGCTTTGTTTTTTCTTATTGTGGTTGTTGTTCTCTTCAATTTTTCTTCCTCTTTTGCGTCGATGATTCTCGGGGTTTATATAACTCCGCCGGTAGTGGTTGTTGCCGAGTTTTTTGGGATGGTGAAGTCCTGTTCGGCATGACTTTTGTTTGTTCCACAACGCGCTCCCATTTTTTTTTCGCAATTTTCACGGTTTCTCGTGCCAAAAATCTCGACTGATAGGTGACTTGGCTAGCGCGTGGCCTTCACGCGCCGTTGGAATATTAATCTGATGCATCTTGGCCATTAGATCAAAGAGCCAAATCCAACGGCTCTGATTGATGCAACACCCCTGCTAATCACAAAACCCTAGCTTGTTGGTTTTGGGCTTCGAACTGTTGGGCTCGCCTGGTTGGCATGCTGGGTTAGGTCTGCTTACCCGATTGGGCTCTCTCTATTGGACTTGAACTTCTGAACTTTTTATTGGACCTAAAAACAATTAAACAAATAAATAAAAATAATATAATATAATATATTAATAATATAATACTAATATATAATATATAACTATATATATATATATATAATATATAATATAACTATATTATATATAATAATAAATATATATTATAATATATAAATATAATATAATATTATATTATATTATAATATATATAATAGAATAGTATAATATATAATACTATAATATATAAGACTATATAATATATAGCATATACTATATAAATACTATAATATACAATATAAAATAATATATAGAATATAGCATATATTATATGAAAGAATCCAGACGAAAATGAGTGTTTACTATATCTAAATCAAATTTAAAATTAATCCAATGATCCCAAACTCACAAACCAAAATAATTCTCAAGGTTCATGACAATATTCGAATGTTAATTCGAAAATTTGAGTCGTTACATAAATTTTTTCAATTCTAGAAATATTCTCAAATGTATTTTTCCAAATTTTTCATTAAATTTAAATAAAGTATTTATTGTGTTAAACATGTCACTCGATCAATCAATAATATTATGTTCAAATTTACTCAAATGTCCACCCAATTAAAAGACATGTATTATATGAAATCATTATCAATTTTAAAAGAAATCATCTACAACACACGATGATTTTATAGTTTGTCATTTCCACAACAATTTCATCTTTTATTGTTCAAACAACTCTATTTTCCTATATAATTTTTTTTATAGAAAGTAGTTAGTTTTATTAAAAATAGAAAATATTCAAAATTACAATGAAGATTTACAAGCATAATCGTAAACCTAAAACATAATTATGACATTTTTCTATTACCATTGAGATAAAAACTACCACCTAGATCACATAAGGACTAAAGAAGGAAAATGTTAAAAACCTAACAAAAAAACTCGAATAAAATAAAGATACAAATAAATTTGACTGCATCGGTAAACGAACTACAAAAGGGGATGAATCTACTGAAAGACCACCGACAAACCACAAATCAAAGTCAAGCGACGTGAGAAAACTATCCACAAACAAAAATGCGTATCTAAATCAATCCGGGGGTCCAAAACAGGGAAGATCATCATGATAACAAATAAACACCATATTAATCAGTCGTGACGATGTCAAATCCAACCCTGATAAAAAATATAAACAAGAACAACGGCAAAAAACCGTAAACAACAGTAAAAAATTGTAAGCTACCAAAAGGTAGAGAAAAACATGCCACAAAGGCAGAGATAAATGTGTCGTAAAGGCAAAGAACATGTCACAAAGACAGAGATAAATATGTCGTAAAGGCAAAGAATATGTCACAAAGACATAACTATTATTATTAAAAAAATTAAAAAAATAAAGAAAAAATATAATTGGCAGACGATAACCAACTTTAAAACCAGTGTCGCCGGTAGTAAAATAAAAATTAAAGAACACAAGTTGTAAAAAAAAAGAGAAAAGAGAGGAAGAGAAGAAAGCTGGTAGGTTTTTTTCCCTATATAATCTTTAATATATCTTATTTTCTTAATTGGTTATGTTTTTAATTTTTTCCCTAATTTAAACTATGCATGATACTATTTTTATTTTATTTTTGTTATTGATGTAATTATCATTGGTGTGGCAGTTTTCCAAACACTTTGAGAGACCAATTTATATGGAAAACTTAATATATAAAAAAAGTGGTTACATTATACTTAAAATTAAATTTTTGGTGTCTAAAGTATTTTTTGTTAAGAATAGGTGTATAACATTTTCTCCGTTATACTTTTAGATGTTTATCATTAGGGGGGAAACCCTTTAAGTGATATGTGTCACATTTATATTTTTTATTTTTTAAAATAAAAAATATTATTTAAAAATATAAAAAAATTAAGCCCCGACGTCCCTTCCCCCTGTCCCATGCTTTCTCTCCCTCCAATCCCATCACCTTCAATGACAAAGGATCACTACCGACTGAGATTTGTTTGGAGTAGAATGAGTACGATGGTCGTGTAACGCATAGACAACAGGAGCTGTCAGAATCATCAAAAAACAACAAAGGAAAATCTTGAATTCTGGAGACCCTTAGCGACACTTTTCACACGATCAACGTAGTTTCACGATGGGCGGGGGACTGGGTTTTGAACGCAACGAGGAGACGATTCTAATTGTGTCAATGGTGACGATCACATACTGACAGTGACTGATCGACGGTGGAGGAAACAAAATTTAGGGTTTTTTAAAATTAAAATATTAAGTGTTTTTTAAATAATTTTTTTGAAATTTTATATGCATGACACATGCCAGATAACGACCAAGTTTAATGGCGGATATGGTTCAAGAGCATAAAAAATGTAACAGAGAAAATGTAGGCACCTATTTTTAAAGAAAAATTCCAAAAGTCAAATTTAGGTATAACTTAGACAATTATTTTTATATTAAGTCTATGTAGAATCTAAATTAATTATATTATAATATGGCATTAATTTTTTATCTTTACAAAAATTACACCATACATTTAACATCATAATTTTATTTAGGGTAAGATATACAAATGACTCCTGATTATAGAGTGTTACTTTGTTGAATCCTCAAATATTAAAAATTACAGAATGATCACTCAATTATATGATATTATTTTTTTAGTCCCTTGACTATTAAAAGTTACAAAAATAATCACTTTACTATTAATATGTTACAAACTCTTCTTTTTCCGTTAAAAATTGATGAAAGTTTGAGCTAGACTTTAACATTCTAACTGAGATATGATAAAATATAGTCTTAGAATCTCAAACGACTATATAGCTTGAATGATTCTGGGATCATAGTTTATCATATCCTAGTCAATAATCAAATGACCATAAGTTAACATTCAACTTAGACGACTGTCAATTTTTTAACGAAAAATAATGAGGTTAGAAATTTTGAATAATCAAATGACCATTTTGTAACTTTTAATAGTTGATAGACTCGATAAAGAAATGTCCTATAGTCAAGGACCAGTTTTTAATTTTTAATAAATAGGGGACTCAACAAAGTAATATCTTATAGTCAATGAATCATTTTTGTACTTTACCCTTTTATTAATTTATTAAAAAAATGCAACTTTCAGTTTTCCACAAACATCGTAGCCGTCGTTAATTGTAAATTGACAGCTTCGTTATTTCTCTTTCTTATATTTAACGAATTACACACAGCGAGAGAGAGAGAGAGGTGGAAGAGGGCTATCGACAATGGCTTCCTCTTCTTTTATCCTCTTCTTATATTTATATTATATTTTCTTCTTATCATGTGCTTCTCAAGACACCGCTCAATTTAAAGGTACAACTTTCTTATGATTTCTTTCTTTTTTTCTCATAGGATTTGAAATCTGTGTTTTTCATCCGCTTAGTACCATTTGCTTACATTCTGAGGGAAAGTAGAAAAGGGATTAGCCAATTCAGTTTTGGGATCTTCTCGTTGTTCTTCGATTTGGTTTAGAACCCTGAATCGATTTGGCTTCAATTTATTTGTTCCCGAAGAAAATGTACGGATCAATGAGAATATATGCTTGGCTTCTTGAGAGAAGTGAACCTAGAATTTATGCTTTAAAATATAAAGTCGGGTGGTTTTGTCAAATGCAAACTGTTATTATATTAGCTTTAAAACGTGTTCTTCAAATGCTGGTAAAAAGTAAGACTAAATCCTAGATGACGCCTAACCTTGTATGTTTTCCATTTTTACGGTATCATTTTCTTAGTAGAAATCTTGTTATTGACTTATTTTCTCATTTCTTATAAGTGATCATCAGTTTCCCACAGGTTTCTTTAGATATACAGCTAAAAGTTTTTTTTTTCAAATATAAATTACTAAGATGAGATGTCCCATGCAAGAGGTACTTGGAGGTCTTTATAGCTATGAGGGGAATTTTTAGTGTTTAAATAAATGTTTAGATTAAATAACGACTTGATGATTTGTGATCACTTTAATTTTAAAACCGAGCTCTATCAATGTATCATTTAGTTATGTCCTATAGAAAGTATTACTATGACATTTGTGAATCAGAGGTGAAGTGGGATTATGCCAGTAACTTGATGGATGTCTTTTAGTTTTCTTTTGCACCCTAGCCATACTTCTTCATGGTTTTTTCAGAGGTTTTAAAATTGCAGACATTGACTTGGGAAGTACAACTTCAGCATTGGATGTCTCCCCTACTCCCCTTTACGGGCATTCATCTGTCCGTAGTTCAAAAGATGTTATATTATGTGACCGAGTTCGAGCTTCTGGTCACTCAAGATTGAAACTTAGGAGTTATGTCAATTCTGTTCGGGTTACTTTGACTCCATCTGTCTTAATACCAGAAAGAAAACACAGCAAAATTCAAGTTTGCTTTCATCGGTAGGTTTTGCTCTCAATCTACACTTGTTCTGCATGAGATCACTTCAGAAGTTTGTTGTCACCATTGGTGATTGAAAAAGTCTTGCAGGAATGCTTCACTTGGATTATGCCAGTGTGAGAATGAAAATTGGAAGACGGTGGAAAATGGTATATGGCAAGCTGTCATGTCGCCTTATGATGATAGATTTATAGATGTAAAATTTATAGGTGATGTGTCTGGCTCTATCACGGTTGCTGTTGAAGAAGGTATGATTATACGTTATTTGCATTTCTTTTGCTTGTGATTGTTAGTTCATTGAAATTGAACTTTATTTTCAACCTTGATTTGTTATCTTTTTTTGTAGATATTAAGCGATGGCGGCTTGTGTTTCTAGCTTTAGGATTTGTTTTGTTTCTGTTGGCACCAATTATCAGCAAGTCGGTTCCTTTTTATTACAGCAGTTCAATGGCTATTGGTATTATTCTTGTCATTTTGATCCTTCTCTTTCAGGTATTTTTCTGTTCGTCCACAAATTCATTCTGCCTTCATTGCTTTTAAAATCGCCCTACTTTTTGATTCCGCATTTTTGTTCCAAATCTCAATGCTATTGTATATATCTTACAAATTTGAAGTACCTTATCCTGTTGACTGCTGGAAGATAGTGATTGTTTTCCATGTATTTTGAAGAACATGGATCTGTATTGAAGTTCCAGTTCTATGCAACTTTGTAACCAAAACCTGTTTGATTTCTTACTTAGTGCTCAAACATAAGTCAACTGATTTTTGATGCCTCATTAGATGTTCATCGGCTCACATATGATGACTGGATGACTTGGGAATCTACTAGTTATTTGTATCCTTAAGATTATACTGAATTTATGCCAATACCGACTTAGATTCAGCTTTTACCTGTGTGGATTTTCTCTTTCCAAGCAGGGAATGAAATTATTGCCTACAGGAAGGACAAATATCTTCTATCTTAGATATATGTTCCAGTGGTGAGTCTTTATTTTCATTTGTTTATAGGTTAATTAGTGTTTCATCTACTTTGAGCTGCCAGCCAATATACTCACTGTTCCATTAATTTTTCAGCTTGGAGCTGGATCTTTTCTTTTACATCAATTGTCTGGGTTGGTAAATTCAATTCTTATCAATTTTGGGCTTAGTGAAGATATGCACAATCGGGTAAGTTCTTAACAACTGTCCATGAGATCTCCCTCCTTTCCCTTCATTGGAGTTCGTATTTTCAGCAAACGATATTTAATATGGTTCCTTTAATCGTCCATGACTTTTGTGCATATGATTTATTCTCTAATGGCTTATTTGTAGTTGTGACCCTTTTCTCTTTAAAAGGAAGTGTTATTTCAAAGTGAACCAAGTAATTCATTTTTGCTTATTTTTGTTACAGGTTGCCATATTTGTATTGGTTGGAATTTTCCTCTCAGGAGCTGCATTAGGGTACTGGATGGTAAGAAAATCTGTGATCTCGAAAGATGGAATTGTAGATGTTGGTGTTGCCGAGTTTGTAAAATGGGCCATGCGCATCATTGCATCTGCGTGTATTTTCCAGGTATGTTTCTACTACTAACGGTGGATGTATTACTTGGAATGCAGACTAGGTTATGTAGCATGTTTTCTCTTTATTTGAAGCTTCCTTAAATTCGGGCAGTAGCTTCTGAAACCCATGAGAGGGCTGTTGTTAAGTATGTCAAAATCAGTATACTATTTGTTATATGTACATTAATTGCTGGATGTTACTCGATACCTCTTTATAGTTTTCGGGGTTCCCATTAAAAGAAAGAAACATATGGTTTGCCAACAACCATATGGCTCGTTGGTAGAGTGCTAGATTTTAATTCTAATTATCAGGGATCAAACCTTGTCAACCGATGTTACTCTAGCTCGGGTGCGAGTATCAGATATCAGTATGTCTCCGACATGGATATGTTTAATTTTTTCCATGTATTTTCAGGATCCTTGTAGGATGATATCCCGTATTTTGTAAGAAATATGTTTCAGACATGGATGTCAAACATGGATGGATATAGAAAAAAAACGGAGTCTGAGCATCATAGCTGGCAACCTCAAGATTTTCTTTCAAAAAAGATATGTTTATTTTTCCTATCTTGCACCCCTTTTCTACTCTCTTCAGAGCACTCTTGATACTTGGCTAGCACTGGTGGCATTGGCTTCTTCTTCTGCTATTTGTTCTTTTCTTACATCAACAAGAAGGAAATGTCGTTCGTAAGTTGATCATAATTCCCTTATTCTTTTCATTTTTACGATTTATGTGTGCCGGAAGAAGGTGATTCTGTTAGTCTATGTTTGATAATGTCTTTGTTCTGCAAAATGTATTCATTCCACTAACTAGTCGCATAATAAGACTACCCCTGATTTTGGTTCGATGTCCATTGCAGCTTAAACTTTGTCTAATTGAAAGCTAAATTCAACAAATGATTTTAATTCTTCCTTTCCAGTCGTAGCCTTGATTTATTTGAACCTTGAATTTGGCATTTTGGCTTATGTAGGCACCAACCACATTCTTGGGACAGGAGTCCTTGGGTGCACCGGTCGAGGCCGGGAATGATAAGCCAAAGTCGTGCCAATTATTTCAATAGGGCTCCGAGAATGTATTCTGATAGAACAGTGTGGAATAGACATACTCCGACGACTTCATTGGCATGGACTAGATTTCCTGCAGAGGTACTTCTGGTTTTCAAGGTATTTCATAGTTCATAATAGCACATTTTTCTTGGAGCACCATTTTATTTTTTTTCTTTGCTTCGGGTTAATATAATCAGCTGATTAGTTTCTTTTTTAACGTTTTAGGTGGTACGAATGATCTAGATTACTATTCGACCTTTCACAAGACGCGTAATCAGAAGAAATTCACGAAACAAGAATGGGAAGATTTCAGTCGTGAATCCACCCGGGATGCCATGGCAGAACTGACAGCAACCCCGTAATTCACAGATTGGATGATTGAACATGCTGACAGGATAAAACTCCTTCCATGTGAAAGTTCAGAAGAATCAGTTGGAAGCAAATTGTGTTCATCTGATTATGAAGAGGAACGAGGCTCCGGCGGGTTCAGATTATTTAACTTGTAGCAGCTGAGGTAGATAACTGATGGTAACTACTGAAACTCTTGCATGAAAAAGGTCCCCGTTGCGGTTATGTTACTCGGATTCGAGTGTGAATTCCAGATATGAGTGTTTCCTATTGGAGATTCGGATCTCAATAATCATAATCGGATATGTGTCGAACACAGATACATACAAATACTTGAGAAAATGAAGGGTAGGAGTAAAGCCAGATAAACTGCTGCTTTTACAAGTAAATTGGTTGCCTCCTCTTCAAATTCTGGGGAATTGTTTCATAGGTGGCAGAAAACCAGTACGATTCCGGATTTTCTGCATATTGTATATAGATCACGCTGAAAAAAGAATGAAGACTCATTTTTTACTTTGATTTATTATTTTCCTTTTTTGTTTAATTTATTTTATTTACGACATTAAAATTTGGACCTCCAAATCTTGTTAAACTAACTGACTTATGATTGTAGACTCCCGTTTTTGTCCGGGTCTTTTTTATTATTATTTATATATATTTATTATTATTATTATTATTATTATTTATTATTATTATGTTTATTAATTACATATTACAATTTTTGTAGGCCACTAAAGCACAGATTACAGAAGGTCCATTCCCGGAGCCCAACTAGCTAAACCTAACAACCCAGACTGAACCAACCCATCAGATTAGGGTTTCAAACCCTAAAATAAATTAGGGTTTTAACCCTAATCCCCTAATGGCAGCCGCCGACTTCAACTCCTCAGCTTCCCAGCCGTGAGCCAATCACCGAGCCACCAAGCTGTGGAATCCCGAGGGCCGCCGTATGCTCAGTTTCTTTCGAAGGTAAAATATTAGATATGGCAGTTTAGGGTTAATTTTTGGCTAAAAGGGTTCGGGTTTCGAAGTGGGGAGGAAGAGAGGAAGCTTTTGAGTGTTTTTCCCTCTCTCTGGGCGAGTGCCGACGGGTCTCCACCGTGGTTGCCGCCGTCCAGAACTATCCCTTTCGTCCCCGATGAGGGAACTTGAGAGAGTTCTGGGAACTCTCTCCTCTGGTTTTGGAAATATGAAACAAATGAGAAGGCTGATGAAAAGTAAGCCTTGGATTTTGGTATAAGTACCCCAAGTCAAAACACAGCCGTTTTAGCACCCCATTCCCGTGTTTTCAAAGTTTTAAGGGGCTAATGGCATGTTTAGTCCCTGCAGGTTGAGAAACTCACCCGTGTTTCTCATTTTTTTTGGGTAAACCACACTTTTGGTCCCTGATCCTTTGTAACCGCATTATTTAGTCATTAAATGAGATTTATTGTATTTCGATTTCGAGCCTTTTAGTTTTTAATAATTTCATTTCAGTCATTAATTTTTGTATTATGTTTACTGTTATTTGAATTTGGGCACCATATTCGTATATATTCTATTTTAGTCATTGTTTGATGTTTGGTTTAATTACTTTGTGATCTTTTATGTTTATGTTTATTTCATTTTAGTCCTTACTCTTTTGTATTATACTACTTTCGTGGATGTTTGGATCTGATCTCATATTGTGTAATTATTTTATTTTTATCACTGAATATAACTTTGCATCTTTTAATTTTTGGCTTCAAGTTCTAATTGCTTTTATTTTAGTCATTTTCTGTTTTTTAATATATTTGGTTTAATGTCTATTTTATTTTCTTTTGTTTTGGGCATCTATGTTTCCTTGTTTATATTTTAGTCCTACTAATGTATATTATGTCATTTTTGTGGATACTTGACTTTGGTCCCAATGTTTGTAATAGTTTCATTTTAGTCATTGATTTTATATGTTAGGTATTTTTGTTAATGTTCGAATTTATCCCTGACATTTGTGAATATTTTATTTTATTCATTTATGTATGATTTTATTGTGCTTGTTATTCGGTTATTTGTATTATGTAAATAATTTTTTTTAGTAATGTAAATATTTTATTTTGTATTTCCAATTACATTTATTTTCATTATATTTTTATCTATGTATGAAATATTCGAATAGTTTTCAAGAACACGTATGCATAGAATGGGCGTGGAAAGTATCACTTGATCGAAGTGGTGTGATCCGGTACGGCATTTTAACGACATAGAAACTTGAAATAAGTCAAGTATATTTTGCTAATTAATTTGTTCAAACGGTGCAATGTGTGTTATTTTAAGTGACAATTTATTTTATTTTATGTGAATGTAAATTTCAAATTTTTTAATTTGTATTCAATTCACGTTTGTAGTTAATCAATTTACTCGTATGTAAACATCGTTTTTAGTTATATTTGATTCGCATTTTTTTTACATAATCAATGGTAGAATATTCTTTTACAAATGAGAAATAGTTGAAATAGCTTTCCCGACGGAGGATTGCAAATTTCAAGATTTCTTATCGAGTTAAAGGATTTTCTTTAAATAGTTAACTCGAAGCAAATTAATTAAATTTCAATAAATGGATCGTAATTTAACTTTACATTCGACTCATAAATTTTACCATTTACGACGATGTGTAAGCGACATAGTACCAATTTTGGGCGTTGTGGTGGTGCTTACCTTTCCCCACACGTAACCGACTTCCGATCTATTTAAATGAATTTTTGGTAACGCAGACCGAATTTTGTCTTAAAAATGATTTTTCTTAAAATTGTTTTTAAAAGATATTTTTAGGTATTCGACCTACCTAACCTAAAGGTCGATGGCGACTCTTTTCTATTTTATTCAAATCAATTCCAAAATCACCAAATTTTCCAAATTAAAGTCATAATTGTTTTTAAAAATAATATTTAATTGTTTTTTTGAAAAATGGTTATGACAGCTTGGCGACTCTGCTGGGGATTTTTTTTAGAGAGTCAGTTGTATGTCGCTTACATATTGTCATCTTGGTGGAAATTATGATTTCTAGTTTTTAGTTAATTTATGATCCGTTTATTGAGATTTTTAATTGCTTCGTTTTTTTGTCGTACTAACATTTTATTTTTGGCTTTCAGCTTTGTCAGGATTTTATCATTTTTCCTTGTTTTGTTTTCCTTTTGGGTCGAAGGTAGGTATTTTCCTCCTCACACACATCACTCGCATTAGCATAACATAAGCTCTAGACACGAGCTTCGATCCAAATTAGTTGGGGTGAATGCTTTACTCTCGTAAGAATTTATTCTTTGTATGAGTTTTAGCAAATAACCCATGGGATACATACCTTATACCTTCGTAGGGATTTATTCCTCGTACGGGTATAAGACAGTGAATCCCCTCGAATTGAACTCGTTCCGTTTGAAACCTGTAATGGGTGAGGATCGAGGGTCTGGCAGCCCAAGGGGGCACCGACATCAAGGACAATTCGAGTCCCTTTTTTCCGTTAGAGCCGAAACCAAGCATATAGTGAACCGTCGAACGATCACCCTAGGTATAGTCATACCGAACCTTTGTCCGTCAGTAGGTACCCAAAATAGGTGTACACGAAGGAGGAACGACTCTAAACCTTAACCTTTTAAATTTGTAGAATATATTTTTTCCGAATAAAGCATGCGAACTAGATACCATGCGGTTAGGACCAATTTCTTGAAAATAGATCATTTTGGGTAGATTGCATGTCCGGGTAGGATTGTTATTTAATTGAAAGCATGTCCGGGTAGGATTGTTATTTAATTGAAAGCATGTTTGGGTAGATATCATGACGGGGTAGGTGTTATATTCATCTCTGAATAACATTTTTATCCGTATAAATTATTTTACATGTACTAACTCGTTTTTCTCTTTTGTTTTTACACCTTAACTTATTTATTTTGTTTGTCATTTTTCATCCTTCTTTGCATTGCATTGCATCGTCATGGTATAATATGAAAATGTTGATCCGCAAGGGGATATCCATGAGAAAATCTTCACAAGAAGAGATAAAAATTTTCAATCAAGCAGTCGCATACACAGACATGCATCGAGGGCTAAAAAGAAGTCCAGAGTACAAGAATGAGATTTTCTCGAAGATCGTGCGTCATTCGAGACTGATATGATAATCCACTGATCTAAGGAGTAATCCAGCAGTAGATTCTCATCCACAATTATTCCATCGTTAACCATCAGGGAGTGAAGCACAAACTTCAGCATAGCCGAGGTATTAACGAGTCAGATTACAGAGCGCTTGAGGGGCATCATTATTGAGGATGAAGATTCGATATGAAGCAGTGATCCATTCCAGGCTCACCATCTAAGCGAAGTCAAGTCTGTAAAGGGGACTGTCTTGTAATGTGAAAACTTTTGTCTCTGGTGAAAATTTGTTCTAAAATATTCGTCGTTGGGATCAATATTTTTGCATCTGCATTTTCATCATTACATTTTGCACAACATTCATTTAAGCATTGTTACATGCATTAATCATACCTTGCGGGAAACTTTAAGGAAACACTTCTAACTGTGCAACTGCATTCACACAGTATTGAGAATGGATGCAAAATTCGAGCAACTGAAGAAAGAGCTAGAAAAGAGTTTACAAAAGATGCAAGCTGAGTGGGAGGTTAAAATGGAGCAGATGCAAAAGACCACCGTGGATCGTATCTTGCAAAACCAAAAGGACATAGTTGGCCAAATGGTAGCAAAAATGGCTGAGCTTAACCAAGGAAAAGGCAGAGAGAAAATTTCCTTGACCCGTGAAACAGTTGAATGTGTGAAGGCACAGGCTAATTCACAACCACTTATCTCGTCCAACAGGATTCCTAGTCACCAAGCGACGAGAAGAGCCAAGAACGAGATCCCAGAGAATTTGAAACAGTGGTGCAGAGAGACATTTCAGGGAATGAGAGGACAAACCTCTCACAACGGGATGGATGCAACAGAACTAGTACTAGTTCCCGACTTGGTGCTCCCGCCCAAATTCAAGATGCCCGAGTTTGAAAAGTACAGGGGAACCAGTTGCCCCAATGCCCACCTCACGATGTTTATTCGAAGAATGACTGGATATACTAACAATGATCAGATGTTGATCCACTACTTTCAAGACAGTTTGATTGGACCCGCTTCAAGGTGGTACCACCAACTGAGTCGTTCTCAAGTCCGCTCCTGGAGGGATTTGGCTAGTGCTTTTCTGGGCCAATACAAGCACATGATTGATATGGCCCCCGATCGAACAATGCTTCAGAATATGGGGATGAAAATTATGAGAGTTTTCGACAGTACGCACAACGATGGAGGGATATTGCATCTCAAGTGCATCCACCAATGACTGAAAGAGAGTTCATCACTCTATTCATAGATACATTACAGTCTCC